GTGAGAGACCCGCGTACCAAAAAAAAAAAAAAAGAAATGCTTAGGACGATTAAACAAGAAGCTTAAATAGCCAAAAAACCAAAACCAAAACACTAACATGTGAGTGATCCTTTTACACTGCAGTCATGAGAAGGGGAAAATGGGGAAATTATTAATTTGGAAGCTCTTCTTAACTACTTAGCATTAGCTTTGTAATGGAAATTGTACTCATTGAGATATCGTTTAAGATGAATGCTTGGGGTTACTTGATGGGGTAGGTTAGATTTTCAAGTATAGGTTCAAAGATTTCTTCATCGGATGGTTTATCTGCAGGCAAGAATTCTTTTTAAGGACGAGGCTGCCATGGCGTTACTGTGCAAATTGTGTGTGTACGCGTACCTTTCTACCTAGCCTTCTTTCTACCCCTACTGCTGGATGGCGTTAAGCAAATCCTTTACCATAACAAAGTATCACTTCCTCCATGGGTCAAAGACCATCCTTTGTTGCCCTTGCCTCATCCTCTCTGGCGGTATGGTGAGGATTGTGAACAAATGTTTAATCTATTTTTGAAACCATCCCCAAAGCTAACAGAGAACAGAAAGCCAGGAGCCATTTACTCAAGTAAAATGCAACCAGTGTTTGCTTTTCCTCCAAGGATCTCATGTTTCCAAAGAGTGTTCCTTACATATTTGCAGACGAAACCATGAAGCTTGACAGCCATTGTGGTCGCCCCTGTCTCTAGCTGTGGCCTCCTCTATGCTTCACCAAATTTAAGGACTGACAGAGACGTCAAGAGGGCTTCAGTCTTGAAAGCCTCCATCAGGAAAGCCACACCGAAGAAATAGGAACTGTCCTACACTGTTGGTGGGAATGTAAACTGGTACAGCCGCTACGGAGAACAGTATGGAGGTTCCTTAAAAAATTTAAAATAGAGTTACCAAATGATCCAGCAATCCCACTCCCGGGCATATATCTGGAGAAAACCATAATTCAAAAAGATACATGACCCCAGTGCTCATTGCAGCACTACTTAACACTAGCCAAGACATGGAAGCAACCTAAATGTCCATCAATAGATGAATGAATAAAGAAGATGTGGTATATACACACACACACACACACACACACACACACACACACACACACAATGGAATATTATTCAGCCATAAAAAAGAATAAACTAATGTCATTCACACAACATGGATGGACACAGAGATTATCATACTAAGTGAAGTAAGCCAGACAGAGGAAGACAAATATCACATGACATTGCTTATCTGTGGAATCTAAAAAAAAAAAAAGAGAGAGAGAGATAAAAATGAACTGACTTACAAAACAAAAACAGACACACAGATATAGAAAACAAACTTATACTTATCAAAGGGGGATAAATTAGGAGATTGGGATTAACATATACACACACATATATAAAATAGGTAATAGGTAACCAACCAGGACCTACTGTATAGCACAGGGAACTACACTCAATATTTTGTAATAATCTATAAGGGAAAATAATCTGAATTCAGTTATATATATCTATAACTGAATCACTGTGCTGTTCACCTGAAACTAACACAACATTGTAAATCAACTATACTTCAATTTAAAAAATCTATAAAAGGGATTTCCCTGGCGGTCCAGTGGTTAGGACTCTGCACTTCCACTGCAGGGGACACGGGTTTGATCCCTGGTCAGGGAATTAAGATCCCACATGCTGCGGGGCACGGCCAAAAATACAAACGATCACCAAATATCTTTAAACACTACTAATACTGAAATAAAAGCAAATTAAAATAGTAAATGCTTTTTTTTAAATCTATTTTTAAAAAATAAAAAGAAAGAAAAGCCACATCTCCATGGCCCCAAGCAGAGCCATGTGTGTGGTGGATAAAGGCACAGATTCTGGGTTCAGTCAGACCAGCTCTTCTACTACTCTAGCTGTGTGACCTTGAGCGTGTCATTTCACCTCTCAGCCTCAATGGTCTAATCTGGAAAATAGAGGGAAGTAATGGTATATACATCGTAGGATGGTTGTGAAGATCAAATTTGGTAAAAGGATAAAATATAAGGCCTTTAATATGGTGGCAAAAATATTTTGTACAGAAAGAATTTCCAGTCAAGAATATTGGAATATTTTGTTCCTTCGTTTCATCCTATATCTCTTGTGCTAAATTCTGCCTGCCGGTAATGAACTAATTGGCATTTGACATTTAAACTTTAAACTGGGGGATCTAACAGGAGCACGTGTTCTGGGAATCATGATTTGCTACTCTATTTCAGATGAAGGCCAAGGAATCCTGCCTCCACCTCTTTGCTCTTTCTTCCTTTTCTCACGCTTACTTTTCTCTAGGATTCTAATGACTTTCAGGCATGACCTGTTGTTCAAAAGCCTTCCTCTTTTAGCCCTAAATTTATTCTTGGCCCTAAGAGGCTCTCGGATACACTGGAACATTTAGAAATTTAAACATGAGCCAGAAATAAAAATGATTGAAAAATCACTGGTTTTACGCATGTCCAAGTTGCTCCATTTCTCATTGAAAGGAAAGAAATGAGCCAAGCAAGGTAAGCAAACACATACTACAAACACTTAACTCTTTCTGTTATTTAATTATATTTTGTTTACTGATAGTAAGATAACTACATTTTAAGAACTGGGGAAAAAAGTGAAAAGAAAGAGAAATCACCGCTCTTTCACCCTCTTAACTACTATTTCTATCTTTTAAAAACGTTATCACTTTAAAATGCAGTGCCGTGATTATATTTCTCTGTCAGGTTTATCACATTTCCAGAAACACGTGGTTCAAAATGGAGACGAGAATGATCAAGAATGTATGTGCCCCTGCCGTGGTACTTGGGGAGCGGATTGTCATCGTGGGAGGTGAGTTTTAACAGAAGATCGAGAGGCTGGACACGAACTTGGCATCTCCCATGGGAAAATGGTCACTGATGTTTTTCTACGAGATAGTCTTTCTTTTTCTTATAAATTTATTTATTTATTTATTTATTTTTGGCTGCGTTGGGTCTTTGTTGCTGCGCATGGGTTTTCTCTAGTTGTGCCGAGCGGGGGCTGCTCTTCGTTGACGTGCACGGGCTTCTCATTGCGGCGGCTTCTCTTGTTGCGGAGCACGGGCTCTAGGCACACAGGCTTCAGTAGTTGTGGCTGGCGGGCTCTGGAGCGCAGGCTCAGTAGTTGTGGCACACGGGCTTGGTTGCTCTGTGGCATGTGGGATCTTCTTGGACCAGGGATCAAACCCATGCCCCCTGCATTGGCAGGTGGATTCTTAACCACTGCGCCACCAGGGATGTCCCAAGACAGTCTTTTTAAAAGCACATAACTGAACCACTTTGCTCTACACCTGAAACTAACACAACATTGTAAATCAACAATTCCCCCATATAAAATTTAAAAAAATAAAATAAAAGTACACCCATCCAACTAGGGGAGTGTGGATGACTTGACAAAGCTCTTTTCTCATCCAGAAGTTTCTCCCTGTCAAACAAGGAATGAAATAATGAACCTATTTCACAGAGTTGTGATCATAAAATGTGCTCATCTATCTAAACCACTTAGCACTATCCCAGACCCGGGGCAAATACTCAAAAAAACATTTGCTGTTGTAAATAAGATTAGCTGCTAAGGGATCATTTCTCTGTAATTGTAGTATAATACTATGGTTAAGAGGGCTGGTTTGAGGGTCAGATAGACCTGGGTTCAAATCCTGACTCTGCCACTAACTGGCTGTACACTCTTAGGCAAGTTATTCATCTCTTTGTGCCTCTGTGTGCTGATCTGTAAAATGGGGATCAGAAGAGTACCCACCAGATAGGGCTGTCGTGGGGACCCACTTCTGAGTTCCCAGAGGCTCCATCTTGGGATTGTTAAAGCTCTTGGATGAGCATATGAGAAAGGTGAAAAAGCTAACTAGGCTGAGAAGGCCACTGGAATCTCTGCTCTCAATCTAAGAACGAACGACATAAGTGTTGCCCTCACTTCGAGTTAAGATGCAGAGACTGAAGTCACACGGATCTGGGTCCAAATCCCAGCTCTGCCACACACAAGACCTTGGGCAGGTTATGGAAACATTCCACACTTTAGCTCAGAGTCCAGCCTCAGGGTTAGGCGATGACAGAGATCAGACAGGTCCCTGGACCACTGACCTCCAGTCCCAAATAAGCATCGCTGACCCTGTCGATATGCCATTTGTTTTTCAGGTTACACAAGGAGGATCCTTGCTTATGACCCTCAGTCCAACAAATTTGTCAAATGCGCAGACATGAAAGACCGGAGGATGCACCACAGGGCCACGGTGATGGGGAACAGACTCTACGTGACGGGTGGGCGGCATCTGACCACGGATTGTAGCATCGAGGACTCGGCCTCCTTCGACTGCTACAACCCTGAGACTGACACCTGGACGTCCCAGGGGCAGCTGCCTCGTAAGCTCTTTGACCATGCCTGCCTCACTCTCTGGTGCATCCCTCACCCCTCCACCACCCCCTGAGGCCCACGAGAAACTGAGAAGTCATCTGTCCTAGTCAAGATGCTCTTGTTGCAAGAGACAGAACACAGCTCCAAAAAGCTTAACCCTGGAAGGGTGTAGGGAGAGCTCACAGAACTGAAAGTTCCAGAGCCTGGAGGCCTGGGACCAAGCATACTGTTGACAGAACACTTTCTCTCTATCTCTGTCTCTATCTCTGTCTCTGCCCCTCTATCTTTTCTCTCTCCCTTTCCCTCTCTCCCTCCCTCCTTCTCTACCTCATCTCTGTTAGGCTCTACTCTACAAATAAGCTTCTTTATCCACACAGTGTGAGAACAATGGCAACTGATAAATCCAGACCCACACTTTCTAGCTTGGCATCTTCAGGAAGAACTTTACCATTATCCATATGGTAACTGCCTCCCAAAACGATGCTGATTGGCCCTTTTTGAACTCCATGCCTCCCTCTTGAGCCAATCACTGCTTCCAGATTGTGCTACTAGAGTTGGCTTGCCCTGGATCACGTCTCTACGGGCAGAGGTGGGGTTAACGGTTGTCACTGACAACCTATTTGAACTGCACATAATGGGATAGAAATGGTTCCCCAAAGCAAGAAATAAATGCTGAGCTGATTAAAAGACACATCTTCCCAGAACATCACAGAAGTTCACAATGAGAGGGCAAAGACACCCAAGAGGGTTTCTGGAAGCACTTGGTCCAGGCGGCAGCAAGAGCAGTTGCCATGACTGTGTTTCTCTGCATCTAGGATGTAGTACATTGGAATTCCAGAAGAGTATGTGAGACTCAGTATCCAGCGTTTGCAAAATTATCTGCACCAACAGAATAAAGTGTGTTTCTGGTGCCAAATGATGTTTCTCTCCTAGCCTCTGTGGAGCTGTAAACCTACAGAATTAAGCAAGATTTTCAATTTGGTAAATGTTACGAGAATTGCTGTTCTGAGGAAAGCCAACAAATTCCTTCAGAGATTACGGCCCTTCCAATGCCAGGGCTGACTTTCCTTATGGCCCTCTTTGTCTCAAAGAGCCTCCCACACTGGCTCAGTCCCAAACTCAGGAATTAGCTGAAGCTGCTAGCACATTACAATCACCTGGGAAGAGGTTTGAACATGGGGCCACGTTCCATTCGGGATGGACAGACAGGGATTCTCACAGGTGGGACCAGAGCTCTGTATTTTTTTTTTTTTTTTTTGCGGTATGTGGGCCTCTCACTGCTGTGGTCTCTCCCGTTGCGGAGCACAGGCTCCGGACGCGCAGGCCCAGCGGCCATGGCTCACGGGCCCAGCCGCTCCGCGGCATGCGGGATCCTCCCAGACCGGGGCACGAACCCGCATCCCCTGCATCGGCAGGCGGACTCTCAACCACTGCGCCACCAGGGAAGCCCCAGAGCTCTGTATTTTTGAAAAGCAGCCCAGATCATTGTAATGTACGTGCAGTGAGGTCGAGAACCACCGCCCACTCAGCTGCGGGCACAGAAGACCTTCACCTGCTGGTCCCATCCCCATCCTGGCCTGCCCCCGCCCCCGCCAGCCCAGCAAGGCAGGCGAAGTCCTCTCCCCACCTGGGATGAGTCTTGCCGCCCTGAGCCTGGCACCACAGTGCCCCCAAGCTGACGCCCTCCTCCCCGTCCAGCTCTCCACGTCCATGTTCTGGACTTTTCCTTTCTTCCCAGTTTGTATTTCTTGCGCTCTCTCTCCTGCTGGGGTCTGAAGCTCTGCCCTGCTCCCCAGACCACTTGGTTGTGGTCCAGACACCCTCCCCAGATGGTCATCCTGGACGCTGTCGCCTGAGCTGCTGGCTGGCCTTATTTCAGCCTCTTCTCTTTTTTTTTTCAATTTTTTATTTTTATTTTTTGCGGTACGCGGGCCTCTCACTGTTGTGGCCTCTCCCGTTGCGGAGCACAGGCTCCGGACGCGCAGGCTCAGCGGCCATGGCTCACGGGCCCAGCCGCTCCGCGGCACGTGGGATCTTCCCGGACCGGGGCACGAACCCGTGTGCCCTGCGTCGGCAGGCGGACTCCCAACAGCTGCGCCACCAGGGAAGCCCAGCCTCTTCTCTTTGAACCTCTTTGTTCAGGCTCTCGATCCCACCTCTCCCTCAAGCTGTACTTGTGAAAGTGAGCAGTGACTCCGGCAGTGCCTACGCGGCAGCCCATTTTCACTTCTTGTCGGGCTTGACCAGACAGCAGCATACGACCCACGGACACTCCCTCCAACTTGAAATACCCTCCTCTCGGCCTCTGGGACACCCACTTGCTCTTGCTTCTCTTCCTCCTCCCTGCAGTTCATTCTCTCTCCTTGTTTCCCTGGCAAATACGTGGTGGTTGACTCACCCCAGTGCTCAGCCCTGAGACCGTTTTCGTATCTACTCTCACTCCCGGGGTGCGTGAGCCCTCCCAGTGCATGGCTCTCCATACTGTCCCAACGCTGCTGACTTTCCAGCTTTCTCTAACCCCGGACTCCACGGCTCGCCCTCCGTCTCCACATCAGTGTTAAGCAGACACCTCAAACTAAACATGGTCAAGATCACTCTTTC